GCAGGGTACCTAGAGTGGTGCTGCCTGGGTTCAGATAGAACATAATATCACACAATCAAACATCACACAATCACCAATTAAGCTCAAAGAGAATTACATATTAAACTACTTATGGAAGGTATCTATATGTATGAGGGAAAGACTATATTTGTTAATGTGTGTCTGCATAGTACATTTCATGCATTAATCGTTTAACTTGAAGTGACCACTGTGACTTTTGAAACAATAAAAATATACTCATTCTCATGGCTTGTAATCTGGTATTTTCATGATTTTAGTATAAAATAATTTCAGAATTTAATAATGCAATGGCGGTATTGTTTGTGTTTATTTCTGTCATTCTCATTGATAATGTAACGAGTCATGTAATTAAGCATTCCTTTATAAGAATTTCAAAAACAAACAGTATTAAGGTATTTGTGATTATTTCATTTTAAAAAAGTAAAATCAGCAAAAAACAAAAGTCATAGAATCTTTGTTCCATCATGTATTTTTAAAGTCTGTTCTGCTGAGAAGTCCTATAAATCCCAGGGTAAGCAAACATAAAATAGAAGAAATTGCTTAGAGCTTGTCTTTCAAAATATGGTCTGCAATGTCTGCATCAGTTGTATGTCAGAAATTTGGAATCTACTCCCCAAACCTACAGAATCAAAATCTGCCTTTTGAATAAGCTCCCCAGTGACTCATATGGACATTAAAGTTTGAGAAGCACTGTTTGGGGAAGATAAGGTCCAGCCTTAGAACTGCAAATGGCACAACCCTTTAAAAATTAGAAACTTGATCCAAATCTTGCCAGGAGGTTATCAGAAATAGAATATCATTTACCTACAGATACAGACTTTTTGAATATTAAGAGCTTGAGATTATTAAGAAAATCTTAAAGAAGTATATTAAGATATTAATCAATACGATCTTATAAAATTGGTTTAAGTACCATGAGTTCATAATTTTCCCAAGCATGTGTATTTTTACTAGAGTTTAAATGTGGACATTAAATACTGTTGTCACCTGAATACTTAAGTAAAGTTAGATCCACCTGCAATCCTGGAACTGTTCTTAGAAGCTCTAATGTTTATGATGCTTATTCTATAAAGAAAAAGAGTTATGTATCTAAGAAAGGGGCCAGACAGGGCAAGAATCCTCAGTGTATATATCCATAATTAGGATAGTTCTAAAACTCTAATATTCTGTGGTATTTTATCATTTAAAAGGCACTACGGCATTTCTTATCTGATCTCATCGCAGGGAGTGAAACGGCTCTAATCATTCTGAATTCTCAGGCCAGCCTCCATTATCAAACAGGATCTGTGTTTTCCCCAACACTTTCTAAAAGAAGCAGAAATTCAGTGAGCTGGCTATTGCATTTGTGTCAGCTATTTCATTTGATTATAAAATGAGCTTTGTGGCCAGAGCTGTGTGTTCTGTTTCCTACAGGCACAAAAGAAAATTCTGTGGCCAATTGAAATACTACGCTCACTGCACCCACTCTGCAAACGTATCTTCTGTTAAAAGAAGGAAGGGACAATAGAGAATATAGAGGTTAACACACATTCTCTCAAAATTTAGCACCTAACATGATGCTGACATGTAGCTTGTTATATATCTCACCTACAACTTCCTATAGGTTAGAGCTTAACAGACATGCACCCAACATTTAGCATCTAACATCATGCTGACATGTAACTTGTTATATATCATGTCTACGACAACTTCCTATAAGTTTAAAAGAGTTACATTAATATTGCCTAATTAATGCAAGCTACTTAAGTCAAAGATAAGAATAGAGCAATGATTTTTAGTCAGGTGTAAATGTGAACTTCAGATGGCCTCTTCCTATGAACCGCAAACATAAGAATGCAGGAGTCAGCACTGGAGAACTGGGTGTAAATGCTATATTTGAGTAATACTGAGATTAGCAACCATGTCTGGGAAGGAACTAGCCGCTGTCTTATTCGTGCTTGTCAATGCCCTCAAGTGAAAACAAGGCATGAATGAGATGCTGTAAATTAAAATGTCATCTCTGACCCTTCAAAAGACAGTTCACTGGGTGTTGCTGATTTTATTCTGATGTTTTAACAATGAAGAAACATATTTCTAAATGCAGCTAATTAAGGTAGCATGATTTATCAAAGGACAAAATAAAAAACAGATATAACCTTAGTATTATCTTTTTTAAAAAGAGATATGACTATTTTACCAAGAATTAACTATTTGATTTTTGATTTGTCTTGGCACCCTTGAGAAGGCCCTCACATATACACGCAAGGCAGAAAACTCCAATAGTAATCTGTCATTCTTCTTTACCAAGATGTAGAATTTTATGGAACTCTACCTTTTAAATAAATGCAGACACTGTAAACAACAGACGCGATGTAGTGTTCTGTGATCCTGGTCTTTGCAGATTTTAGGACTTTCAAAAATAGTTCTTATAGTTCTATTCTTGTCAATGTTTAAAGAACTTCTATATACAAACACCCCAAATTCGGCTACTTGGTAATTTGTATAGATTAAGCTCTCCAAGCGGTATCATCAAAATTCCTCTCAGAAAAGTGAAGGCTAATTCTAGTCTTTTCTCACTAGAATCTCCTACGGCTTCTCAAAAATAAAGTGGTTGGCACTGTATATCATCTATTCACTTTTCCCTAGTAACTTTATCATTAAATTTATGTCTCTAAAACTCCTTCTTTTTCTTTCTGTCTCTTCCTGACTCCTGTAAACTCATTAAGGTGATATAAAGGGTTGGCAAAAACTCCCTCCCCACTAAATAGGTAATAATTCAAAAAAATCCTATTACAAATGCTGAATAATAATTCTAACAGAATGCCATAACGCTGTCCTTTCTCAGTGGCCATTTTAAAAAGGAAGCTTCTAAAAATAAGAGTGTAATCTGTGTTACATACACTGTAGGGACACAAAATCTAAATGTTCCCTGTCCCAGGAGATGAATTAATATCTTATGTTCATTCTTTTAGTAACATTATCAATATCAATTCAAAGAGATTTAAAATAAAACTTTCAGCATTACTTTTCTCCCTATTCTAATTATAGTAAATAATCATCACCAAAGTGCCTGGGCCTACCGTGAGAAGTTGCTGGAAAATCAAATCCACACCAGTTGAAAGAGACTCATGGGGTATAGAATCTGAACTGCTGTTGGACTTATCTTAAGCACAAAAACAGCCATTGTCTCTACACAACAGAACTCTGCATTGATTAAAAAAAAAAAAAAAAAAGGTTGCTGCTGCCTTATCTAAGAGATAATAACTGTATTTTTAAAAGTCAAATTAGCTCTGTCTTTTGCATGCCTGACAAGTTACTGACATAGAATTTAGTTGAATTAAGAATGGTTTTTCCAACTCACAGTGTGACCTCTTCAGTGGTAAAACCCATGTCTTTTCTTGAGAGTATGGTGGGTAATAGTCTCTAAATACAGCTTCTAATGAGGCTTCTCTTTCACAGGGGCCTTTCTTTCAGTAAATTCTCATTTAAAATGGTGAAAATGAAAAGAATTATAAAAAGCAAAATAAGAATAACTTCAGAAAAATATTAATAAAGGGGTGATGATGGGTTAAACTGAAGTCTGAGATAAAATTTAGAATGTAAACCTCTGGTTGAGGCTAGTTTTGAAGAAATTGCCATTACTTTCCTCACCTGTCATGAAAACCACGGCTTGGCCAAAACTCTTGCCATTAGTTTCTACCTAACAATCCTCTCCTTGCTTCTGACATTTACCAACTTCCTGAACTCTCCTCATTCACTGAAGGTATGAGCCTTGAGCTCACATTCTTTCTTTCCTTAGTATCTAACTCCTCCTTCTCTGTTGGCATTTTCACTGCCATTTCAACAAGGTGAAGTCCCTCCTATTCTTTGAAAAAAAAGAAAAAAGAAACAAGGAAAAGTTATTCTCCACATTCCTCTCCAATATATTTAATATACTATAATCAGAACATTTAGAAAAATAAAATTTCAGTTATGTGACTTACTACTTAAGTGCCATCAAATTATTCTCATTGCATTTATGATAAAATCTGAGTCCTACGTCTGTCTTATTAGGACTTACCATCCTAGTCTCATCTGCCCCTCCACCTCCACCTCTGTTACCTATTCACTAGTAATGCTGGGTCTGTTCTAGATCCTCACAAGCATTCTGGCCTTTTTTGCCTTGGACCATGCTGTTTTCTCTGCCTGGGACTTCTTGCTCTCGTCACCAAGATACTTTTCCTTTAGGTACCAGTTTACATGTCATTTGGCCTGGGAACCCTACCTTGTTTCCTAGTCGATATGCTGCAATCTCTGTTCTTTTTCCAAAAAGACTGGTTTTGAGATTTAAATAATCCATTCCCATATCAACAATCTAAGACCTTAACAAATCCAAGGCGTTATTAAATCTAAGATGTTATCAAATTCATTGCCATAATATTTCTTTGTATCCATTATTCTTGTTATTCCCACCTGCATGAATTCCCACCATTTAAATAATAAGATTCCACAAGGAAAACAGCCTTTTTTAAAACCATGGAGAAACATACTGTCAACAAGTTAATTCAGCATTATTCGCAGGCTGTGGTTGGCATCATTTCAGCCTGTCCTATAACAATTTCTGTGGCTATTCCATACAAAATAAATACACTCAAAGGCATAAGAACTAGAGAAAAACTACATTTTAATAATTCTAAATGCATAATACCTCACAGAGACAGCTTGTTTAAAGTCTTTACTAAGTACTCTTTTTAGACAGAATTTTAAAAATTTTCTTTGAATTCCCAAGATGTGTATGTCACAAGAAAATCATTTGGTCTGACTCCAAGTGATCTCAGCTAATTTAAGACCCAGGCAAAACGTTATTCTGACAGATAGCATCAGAGAACTACTAAAAATGTTATTCAAAGATCTAGGCAAACATAACCACACTTGAAGAAAGCAGAATCTCTGATTTGTCAAGCAATTCAAGAGTGAACCATAGTTACACGTTTGACAGCAAAGCAAATAAGGGAACTTACGCATGTCACCAAAGGCCCCCTTTGTCACTTTGGTCGCATGTAACACCACTACCGTAAACTTGTGGGAATACTGGTGTTCCACCTGGAAATAAAATGACAGTAAATTTAAAATAAGCTTCCAATATAGAATCTCATTTTTTCCTTGAGACTAATTAAAAATATTCTACTTAAAAACAAGTAGCATGCATACCAGAAACATTCTTTGATCCTAAGGCTGCTCCTTTTTTGAGTCTACTCTCTCATCACGGAATCTTTGAGAAGTTTAGATTGTGCCTTAAAATGTCGCTACAGCTTGACTACAAGCACTTCTTTGCAGTCCGGTTTACCAAGCACTCAGTAAAAAATGTAAAGCAGGACTGCAGGTATTCTAGGAACACAATCAGGCTTTGTACTCCTTGACTAGGAAGCCCTGGCTTGTAAAGGTGAACTCAGAGCAAGATGTTTGAGGTTTGTTTGTTGTTGTTGCTGTTCACTGAAGCAATCACGCAAAAGACTTTTTCTGCATGACAATTCCAGGACAGCTTTCAAAACCCTATGGACCCAAGGCCATAACCAGCAAACTAACTGCACTAATTTTAATGCATTTGTTAGAAATCACATGCAAGAATATTAAAATTTGCTATCTGCCTAAAAGCTTGCATAAACATAAGAAATATTAACAGGTAGAGAACTTCATTAGACACTTTACCTAAATGGAAAGCAGTAATCAAACAATCCTCACTAAAGCAGAATGAGGAAGTGGGAACTCACATAATTCTTGGAGCAGCTGAAAAGTTTACAAAGTCTTTATCTGAAACGGAAGCATTTCTTGTTTTAATCTTAGGAGAAGAGAGATCCCAGATGGCTGATCACTAGCAGCTTGGGATGGTAGCTCCCAGTGAAAGCGCAGCGAACAAGAGGACGCCACACTTTCAGACGAATTTTTGTTGCTCACAGACCAGGAGATTCCCAGCGGAGGAGCCCCACACGTTGCCAGCATGACTCTCGTTGCCAGCGTGGCGGTCGGCGCCTCGATGCGGCGGTTCTTCGTGCAGAGTCAGAAAAGCACCAGGAGTCTTAACGCCGCTTTTTTATACGGCGCAATGGGTTGCTCAGATTCCGGCGCTGGGAATCAACAAGTTGGACGTCCACTTAGAAACCTAATTAGAAAGTCAGTAATTACAAAGACTACAGATGGATAAATTTATAACGAAGGGAAGAAACCAGCCTAAAAAGGCTGAGAATACCCAAAATCAGAATGCCTCTTCCTCTACAGGGGATCACACTTCCTCATCAACAACAGAACAAGGCCTGATGGAGAACAAGTGTGTTCCATTAACAGAAGTAGGCTTCAGAAGGTGGATGATAAGAAACTTCTGTGAGTTAAAAGAACTTCTAACCCAATGCAAAGAAACTAAGAACTTTGAAAAAAGGTTCGACGAAATGCTAACGAGAATAGACAATTTAGAGAGGAATGTAAGTGAATTAATGAGCTGAAAAATACAACACGAGAACTTCGTGAAGTACGCACAAGTTTTAACAGCTGAATTGATAGAGCAGAAGAAAGGATATCAGAGGTCGAAGACCAATTTAATGAAATAAAAGGAGAAGACAAGATCAGAGAAAAAAGGATAAAAAGGAATGAGCAAAATCTCCAAGAAATATGGGACTATGTGAAAAGACCTAATCTACGTTTGATAGGTGTACCTGAATGTGACGAAGAGAATGAATCCAAGCTGGGAAATACTCTTCGGAATATTATTCAGGAAAACTTTCCCAACCTAGCAAGGCAGGACAATATTCAACTCCAGGTAATACAGAGGACACCACAAAGATATTCCTCAAGAAGACCAACCTCAAGGAACATAATCGTCAGATTCACCAGGGTTGAAATGAAGGAGAAAATACGAAGGGCAGCCAGAGAGAAAGGTCGGGTTACCCACAAAGGGAGGCCTATCAGACTCACAGCAGATCTCTCAGCAGAAACCCTACAAGCCAGAAGAGAGTGGGGGCCAACATTCAACATCCTTAAAGAAAAGAACTTTCAACCCAGAATCACATATCCAGCCAAACTAAGCTTCATAAGCGAAGGAAAAATAAAATCTTTTGTGAACAAGCAAGTACTCAGAGATTTCATCACCACCAGGCCTGCTTTATAAGAGCTTCTGAAAGAACCACTACACATAGAAAGGAACAACCAGTATCAGCCTTTCCAAAAATATACCAAAAAGTAAAGAACATCAACATAATGAAGAATTTACATCAACTAATGGGCAAAACAGCCAGCTAACATCAAATGGCAGTATTAAACTCAACTAAATCCCCTAATCAAAAGACACAGCCAAAACCCATCGGTATGCTGCATCCAGACCCATCTATACACAAAGACTCAAAACAAAGGGATGGAGAAAGATTTACCAACCAAATGGAGAGCAAAAATAAATAAATAAAAAGCAGCAGTTGCAATTCTCGCCTCTGATAAAATAGATTTTAAAGCAACAAAGATCAAAAGAGGCCAAGAAGGACATTACATAACGGTAAAAGGATCAATGCAACAAGAAGAGCTAACAATCCTAAATATATACGCACCCAATACAGGAACACCCAAATACATAAGACTTATAAAGAGACTTAGACTCCCACACAATAATAGTGGGAGACTTCAGCATCAACATTAGACAGATCAAAGAGACAGAAAATTAACAAGGATATCCAGGACCTGAACTCAGATCCGGAACAAGTAAACTGAATAAACATTTATAGAACTCTCCACTTTAAATACACAAAATATACACTCTTATCAGTACCACATCACACTTACTTACAGGTTTAAATGAAATATTGGTTGGCTGCTTGTTTGTTATTTTCTTCCCTCGTTTTTTTCCTGTCTCCATTATTAAGCACAATTATTGGTATAAGAGAGGCTTTCAATACCCATTTTTAGACTGCATTTTAGCCTGGGCAATAAAGCAACACTTCCATTCTCTTTCCCTCTTCCTCTTTCTTCCTCTCCTTCATTCTTTTTTTATTTTTTACTTTTCTTTCTTTTTTCTCAAAAAAAAAATATATATAATTTTAGGAGAGGTAACTTCCCTTAATTTTAGTAGGCTTGCTTAACTGGCTAAAAAGTTCATAATTAGTTAAAAAGAGGCTCAGGTACTGACAATACTGAAAAGTGAGTAGTGACAGTCTAAATGCAAGGAGGCAAAAAAAATTGTCAAAAGTGTAGACAGATTCATAAGGACCAGCAGTAGCATAACATAGGGACAAAAACTAGAAAGCACTCAATAGCTTCTGTAGAAATCACTCCATCAATAGTGTAATTAACATTCCAATTTATAACACAGCATGAAAGAGGTGAAGACATGGATAATAAGCATACTTTGCTAAAAAGGCAGAGAAGCATAAAAGTCTTTCAAAATGAGGCTTATTCAATTTTATTTTAAACAAGAAATACCTTCAACATCAAAGAGTTCTGAGTAGCCAGTTTTTTTGTACATAAATGAAATGATCAATCATAAAAATATTTGGAACTAAATGAAATTGACAATACACTTTGTCAAAATTTGACTGATACACTGAAAGCAGTACTTAGGAAAATTTATAGCACTGAATGCTATATTAAAAAAGAAGAAAGAATAAAATTAATAATCTAAGCTACTACCTAAGTACTAGAAAAAGAAGAGCAAATTGATTCCAAGGTAAGCAATAGAAAAATAGTAAAAATTAGAAGAGAAATCAATAAAATTTGAAACAGGAAATAAATAGAGAAAAATCAATGAAACCAAAATTTTGTTCTTTGGAAAAATCAGTAAAATCAATGAGCCATTAGCCATGCTAACTAAGAAAAAAAAGAGAGAAAGAATAAAACTACTAATACCAGAAATGATAAGGGACATTATTACAGATCGCATGGACATTAAAAGGACAACTAGAAATACTACAAACAGCTCTATGCTCACAAATTTGATAATCTAGATGAAATGAACCAATTTTTTAAAAGACAATATCAAAATTTACATAAGAAATAGACAATCTAAATAGGCCCATATCTATTAAAAAATTTAATCAATAATTAATAACCTTACAAAACAGAAAGCACCATGTTCACATGGGTTCACTGTTAAATTCTACCATTTAACAGGAAACTATCAATTCTCTACAATCTCTTCCAGAGGATAAAAGCAGAGGGTATACTTCCTAACTCTTTCTTGGAGGCCACCATTACCCTAATTCCAAAACTAGAAAAAAACATTACAAGAAAAGAAAACTACAGACCAATATTTCTCAAGAACATACATGCTAAAGTTCTCAACAAAATATTAGCAAACCAAGTCTAACAACATATAAAAAGAATTATACACCGGGCCGGGCACAGTGGCTCATGCCTGTAATCCCAACACTTTGGGAGCCCAAGGCGGCTGATCACCTGAGGTCAGGAGTTTGAGACCAGCCTGGCTAAGATGGTGAAACCCCATCTCTACTAAAAATACAAAAACGTTAGCCAGCCATGGTGGTGTGTGCCAGTAATCCCAGCTACTTGGGAGGCTGAAGCAAGAGAATCACTTGAACCCGGACGGCAGAGTTTGCAGTGAGAGAGATAGCCCCACTGCACTCCAGCCTGGGTGACAGAGCAGGACCCTGTCCCCGCCCCCCCCCCAAAAAAAAAGGAAAGAAAGAAAAGAATTATACACCATGACCAAGTGGGGTTTATTTCAGATATGCAAGGTTCAGCATTCAAAAGTCTATTAATTTAATCCATCATATCAACCAGCTAAACAAGAAAAACTACATGATCATATCAACAGATTAATAAAAAGCATTTGACAAAATTTAACACCCATTCCTAATTTAAAAAATCTTTTAGCAAGCCAGAAATAGAAGGGAGCTTCATCAACTTGATAAAAGACGTCTTCAAATAAACTATAATTAATGTCGTACTTAATGATGACAAAATAGAAGCCTCCTGGAAAAGATCAGGAACAAGGCAAGGAGGTTCCCTGTCATCAACCCTTTTCAACATTGTACTGGAAGCCCTACTTAATGCAATAAGATAAGAAAAGGAAATAAAATGTATATAGATTGAGAATGAAGAAATAAAAC